TAGATGGGTGGGCTGATGGAGGGGGATGTTATATAGATGGGTGGGCCGAGGTAGTGAGATATCTGTCTGACATTCATGGATTACCAAGTCCCAGATGCCCAAAAACCGAATCCCAATGTGCAACATCCATTCTGGACACCCAAACACCCGAAGCTTGAGACTGGAAACTGGAAACTCATGAAAATGTGTGAAATTTCTATTTCCTGACACCAAACACATGAACACCTGAACACCCAAGCCTGAAGCTTGAAAGTCCATTTATCAAATCACCAAGTGTGGAGTGCTGATAAACCCGAAGCCTGAGACCCAAAATCCAAAGCCCGGAACCCAAAAGTATGTATGCAACATGTCCATTTTTCATTCATTGCACAAATCACCGTGTGTCAAGTGCTGAAACCCAAAACTCAAGACCCAGTACACAAATATCTATTTTTCAGTCATTGCACAAATCACCGAGTGTCAAGTGCCAAAACCCAAAACTTGAAACCCGGTATGCAACATGCCCATTTTTCATTTACATTAAACAAATCATTGAATGCCAAGTGCCGAGGCCCAAACCCTGATGTCCGAAGCCCAAAACCCGAAGCCTGAAACCCAAAAATATGTATACAACATATCCATATTTCCCTCACTGCACAAATCACCGAGTGTTGAGTACTGAAACCCAAAACTCGACACCCGGTACACCAATTCACCAGGTGCCAAGTGCCAAGTGCCAAGGCCTGAAACCTGACATCCTAAAGCCCAAAACCCAAAGCCTGAAACCCGAAAATATGTATATAACATATCAATATTTCACTCATTGCACAAATCACCAAGTATCGAGTGCCAAAACATGAAACTTGAGACCCGGTACACAAATCACCAAGTGCTGAGTGCTGAGTGCTGAGTGCCAAAACCCAATGTCCGAAGCCCGAAATCCAAAGCATGAAACCCGAAAATATGTATATAACATATCCATATTTCCCTCACTGCACACATCACCAAGTGTCGAGTACCGAAACCCGAAACTCGACACCCAGTACACAAATCACCAAGTGCCAAGTGCCAAGTGCCGAAGCCCAAAGCCTGATGTCCAAAACCCAAAACCCGAAGCCTGAAACCCAAAAATATGTATACAACATATCCATATTTCCCTCATTGCACAAATCATGGAGTGTCAAGTACCAAAACCCAAACTCAACACCTGGTACACAAATCACCAAGTGCTGAGTGCTGAGGCCTGAGCTCCGATGTCCGAGGCCCAAAACCTGATGTCTGAAGCCCAAAACCCAAAGCCTGAAACCTGATAATATGTATGCAACATATCCATTTTTTCCCTCATTGCACAACTCACTGAGTGTCAAGTACCAAAACCTGAAACTTGAGACCCGGTACACAAACCACCAAGTGCAGAGTGCCAAGTGCCAAGGCCTGAAACCCGACATCTGAAGCCCAAATTCCAAATTCCAAAGCCCGAAACCCGAAAACATGTATGCAATATTTCCATTTTTTACTCATTGCACAAATCACCGAGTGTTGAGTGCCAAAACCCGAAACTCGAAACCCGGTGTGCAACATGTCCATTTTTCACTCATTGCATGAAATACCAAGTGTCAAATGCTGAAACCTGAAACTCAAAACCTGGTGTGCAACATGCCCATTTTTCATTTACATTAAACAAATCATTGAGTGCCGAGTGCTGAGGCCCAAAACCTGAAAACATGTATGCAACATGTCCATTTTTCATTTATGGCACAAATCACTGAGTGTCGAGTGCTGAAACACAATACCCGGTGCTACAAATGGACATGAATTCTGTATTTGTGTGTATTATCCATTGATGTAGGGTTCAAACAACTTGGGGATTGTATTGACTACTGAGTGTCGGTACTTCGGACTTGGGACTCGCTAGCCAATATAGGCAAAGATAATGAAAAAATAGAAGTTGTTGTCCGAGTCTAGGTGAGTGTATTGGTAGTCTTTTCTTGTCCATCGGTTATCATTTGACCAAGATATAAGCTAAAGAATTCCGAAACATTAGTGAGAATGAAAAATGAAAGTTATAGCCCAAGTCAAGGTGAGTGTATTGGTAGTCTTTTCTTGTCAATTGGTTATTTCATTACTCAGTACTCGGTACTTAGAAATCAGTACTCAGTACTTGGTCCTGATACTCGGTACCTGGTGTAATGATAGTCGCAGCACTGGGCTCAAAACCTGTGTTTTTGATACTCACTGTCGGAAATTTCTGAGTTTCATTTTAATGCCTTGTAATGCATTCTAATGCCGCAATGACAACCTACCCGTGGCAATGGGAAAGTAATGTAAGCCCCATTTTGAAATGCTGACAGGTGCTGATGGCAATGTGGCGCCAATGACCATGCCAATGCCCATTGTAACATTAAATTTTGTATTATTACAATGGCATTAAAATAAACTTACAATCCGTGGGAATTCCATTTATGTACCCTGGCTGGCCATCGTCATTATCCTATCATGATCTTGCCATCTATTATTATCTATTGCTTATTTTTATCTACTGTCTACGATTTATCTACTGTCTATGTTATCTACTATCTATGATTTACCAACTATCTATGTATTTACTATTATCTAATTATCTTACTAATACACTTGTTCATTACTTGCACTTAGGTTGATTCGAACTAGGGACTTAGACTATATACTCTATAGTAACATTAGATACGGTCCGTAATCAAAACCATTAGACTATGAGGGCTTTATTATCTGGGAACCCCAACTCTATTAGAGGACCACTCTACAGCTTTCATATCAATACTTTGAAGACACGCAGTCCTCAAAGGAGTCATGATGTGCTCCCCAGTAATTCCCCTGTTTATCCAGCTCAATCTCAGAACACATATCCACACAAGCTTCCAAATTTACCTTCAGCTTCAAATTAACCAAAGTAAACTCCTTCAATGCTGTGGTCAAGTCTTTCTAAATAATCCACTCAAGCGTGTCTCATCTGGTCTTATATTATACATATGTAGTCAAGCCTAAGTAGTGGTGCGAGCATTGCGGGTAGTATGGGTACTAGTGTTAGATACAACGCGTCTGGCTGCTCTGCCTCCTCAACGGCCTCTCACAGCTGCAGGTGCTGTAACAATGTTACTAACTTCATCCTCGTCATTGGGCTCAGATGTAAGAGGACTACTAGGTCTTGGTCTCTCCCTGTTAGCCTCGGCATCAGCAACCATCTCATCCATAATGTCCTCTGTAAGTGGTTCAGGCTGCGCAGTGCGCACCTTGCCTTCAGTCACACCTGCTAAGGCACGATCCATAGCCGCGGTGAAATCCTCTTCATCTGACATTGAGTTAGTTGTTCTTGAACCTCTGGAGAAGACATAATTATTCAGCTTCTTCACAATGTCACGTGTGTACTCCGTGTTCCAGTTCTTGACAAGAATCTTCTTATATGAGGTGAACATATAGCTGTACTGGATCTTCATCATCTCGCCCTTGCCAGAATAGCGAAATTCCTTGTTGGCACTCAGTAGAAAAACAACCTGACAAAAACACATCAGGTGAGACTCTTCCGACACACAAAAACTCACAACTACGCCCACCCACACCAACAAACCGGGTGTTAAAGATGTCACCTCCCACCTATTACCATTTCGTAGAGGTCCTCCTGCTCGTAGCGCAGTCAAGCCGTTCTCACCCCACAGCAGAATCCGGATAGCCTGAAAACATGACGGGTAAGACATATTATATGATAAATATAAGTATTAAATTAAGAGACACAATCACACACCTTGCTGAAGGGTTCCCAATTTCCAAAGACCGTTTTCAGCGAGGGATCTTCGATGAGATTTGGGAAAAGGATGGGTGGGAAAGGCTTGGGCATACGCTGGGATGTAGAGGTACTGAGGAGACCCTGGATCTCAGGTACACTTGCTCGGTCAAACACTATATCAGCAAAATACTGTTCAGAGAGACCAAAGATAAGCCCAGCTTTGGAGCACAGTTTCTTGATTTCGGATGCATGGCTACTGTTCATTGCATCCTCAAACTAAAGTACTATCAGCAGTAGTCAATGAAATAAAGACATTACTTACAACATCCGCGAAGTGATTATCCGCAACCAGAGGGTGGATGTGCGATGGGAGTAAACTGAATAGCTCTGCAAGCAAGGCTGACTCTGCTGAGGCCTGTGTTTCATAGCGTGATGGTTCATTGAGAGGTGGAGCGAATGCAGGATTGGGATGCTGAAGAAGTTGCCTGTCTGGTGCAAACATTTCATAGCAGGCACCATATTTGCGACCACATAAGTGGATTTCTTCGTCGAAGGCCATGTGCTCCTCGGAGGCATTCTGACCCTTCTTCTTCTGCTTTGGCTGGTTTGCCTTGAGGATCTTGTTCTCCTCCGTCAACTCCTTATCGACGTCCTTGAGTTCTTGCAACTAGAGCTGTGTTTCTCACAATGCCTGAAATAAAAGTTTGAAGATTCAGACATAAGCAACAGTGACGGAGCCTACACATACCTGTTCGAGATCAGCGAGGGATATGGTGCTCGATGGTGGCATTGTGATTGCAGAAATGACCAGAGCAGTTTGATGAAAGGAAAGGCAACGAAAAAAAGTTGTTCGAGGTGCCTGATATAAGGGATTAGGTGATGCCTCGTGTTGGTGACAAGGTAATTAGGCCCTGAATAGACTAAGTCAATCCAATGATAACAGGTAAAATCATGCGTGGTTCACTTACATGGCACAACTGAGAGTGTAATCATTACCTTATGTTGACACCAATGAACACATGGGCTTCCTCGCAGCAAGTGTGAGCAGCCAGCGGCTGCAATATCCAATCCAGAAAGTGTCTCAGCATGTTTTGTGATGGTAGCCAAGAAGGTGAGCATGGCTGAGAAGGAAGGATTGAGAGTTGAACAAGCAAAAGGTGAGCATGACCGAGATGGTAGCCAAGAAGGTGAGTATGACCGAGGTGGAAGGATTGAGAGTCGAACAAGCAAAAGGTGAGCATGTTTTGTGATGGTAGCCAAGAAGGTGAGCATGACTGAGGTGGAAGGATTGAGAGTCGAATGAGCAAAAGGTGAGTGTGATGGGTGAGCGAAAGGCGAGCATGATGGGGGGATACAAGAATTGAGAGTCGAGCGAGCAGAGAGTGAGCATGATGGAGATATAAGACAAGACAATGCCAGTTCTTCATTCCACATGACCGGCAGACTTGTGCATCACCTTCATGCACAAGAACATGTCAGTGTCAATTGTGTCAATAACCAGGTAATCACCCTGGATGCTATGATCTTCTGCAAGTGCTGCGCCATGGATGATTGAGTGAACTAAAAAAAATTTGGATGAGATCCTCAGTCTTTGACGAACACGCCAGAACTGAAAGTGTTTATCTTTGAGAGAGCGTTGTCCAACCAGAGCATCATATGGGTGAACGAGAGCAACTGGATGAGTTTGACCATCCACGACACAAGTGAAAAGCATCAGTAAATGCCCAAATATCACTCCGGCTTGAGTTTGAAGGATGACGCAGTCATATCGAGGGAAGTTGTGAAATGAGGGACTACATCAAAGATAGTCTGTAGCAGTGTGCCAGTCCACAATGGACTCATAGTTGACCTTTACGAAGCAATGCTCGGTTACCTGCATTCTATGTGTTAGTCGTGAATCAGAAAATAACAAAACAACATACAGTTTCATCAGGCATGAACTTGATTCGTTTTCCGCCAGGTAGCAGTATTCCATGAGCAGGGAGGGAATCACTCAGAAAGTTTGCAAGCTTGATGCGAAACCGATTGAATGCATTATTGCTTGCATGCTCTTGCTCCAAGGCCGCAAATGTTTGCTCGTTTTGCTCTGCACCCAACTTAACGTGAAGTGTGATGTCCAAGTCATTGTCGAGGTCTTCATCATTGTCCGCACTGCTCAGGTATGAAGGGTCCTTTTGAGATGCAATGAGGTCATCATAATCCTCGATATCCAAATGAATTGAATGTGCAATGAGGAAGCGATGGTCGAGGCAAAGTACCTGTGTAAGATCAATGCAATTCTGTCCCACTTCACGAATAAATGAGAGTACACACCTATTCAGCAATATTTTTGAAGTTTGTCCGCTGAAGATAAATCTGTCTGATTGGGCCATGACACTTCTCATTTGGCTTGGTATTAGTATTCCACATAGCACCCTTTGCTTCAATATCATCGAACAGGTGGGCATATGCATGCCGTTTCGGGTATGCCCAATTCTTTCCTGAGTCGTCTTTTGCGCTATATCACTTATAATTTGGATTGTCAGTAAAACTTGAACACAACTCAAACAAAAAACTGACCTCCAATAGTTGTGTGAACTCTGTTATGGCCAGATGGCCCACAGCAATGGTTTCCGATGTGTGCACTTCAAGAGCAGCATACATGTTGATGTTCACGTATTCATGGATGCATTGAAGGAGCAGATAAGGGAGTGTGTGAGTGCCTCGGTCAATGATGTCATGTGCGGCAAATACGATAAGCTACAGAACCATCAGAATCAGTACAAGTGAGAGACAATGAAACACCTTACCTTAGAGATATCTTCATACTTTGAGCTGTCAGAAAATGATATGTCCATGACATGCTTAAAATGATTGATGTTGCGCCAACAAGGCATTGAGTCAAAGCTATTCCAGTTGTTAAGTCAATAGCTGCTGTACCCTGAAGTTGAGAAACGTACTGTACATCAATTTCAGACTGTATCTGCCGACCAACTGATTTGATGCGTTCCTGAAACTGAGTCCACAAATGGTCAGAAAAATTACCTTTGTTATTTACATGTAAGCGGTCAAATGAGACTGCAGAATGGACGTCTGTGTGAGCAACATCTGAAAATGCATTCTAAAAGGAATCAATTAGAGTTGAGAATGAGAATACAGCGAAAGGAACTTACAGTCTACGTCTCGGAGGCCTTGAGACATTAATAACTTTTCTTTGTCTTCTTGTCGACTGAAACTTCGAGCCTCTGTGATTGTCGCTTGAACAGACGTGCTTGTTCGCAGTGGGTATGATGTCAGTACATTCCCAAGCTCTTCTCTAGGAACGAGACAAATGGGACAAGGACATTTGCACTTGGTTCCGTGTATCAATGCCATAACACATCTGTAGAATAACCATTAGAAAACTATAATGACAAGGCAATACACCTACTGCTCCTCGTAGTCAGCTGATAAAATGAGAATAAGCGGGTAAAAGAGACACTTGATGTTATCCCAACACATGACCCAACAACTGGTTTTCGAGAGCAGCGCAATTGATTTGAGAAGACGCTTGAATGATTCGTGCCAGATGACATTCTTGAAATTGACAAAGGACTGAGTCCTGGAATACTTTCTGTCTTCTTCAACCTACAAAAAGTCATAAGCATAGAAGCCAACAGCAAATCAAATAATTTCTTATACAATCGAAAGCCAGCCTACAAGGCGACCGCCACTGAAACCTTCACCATTGCGTATTCCCACAGGTAAATTCGCACATCGTGCAATGACAGGATATACCTTTTGATGACCAAATGAGGAGAGCTTTGCCTTATCAGCATATATAATGAAAGCAAAGGGCTTTCCTTCATCCTTCGGCAAGGATGACTATGAAACATGCATTTACATTGTTAGAACATTCAAATTTAGTAGCACATACATACTTGACAATCCCAAAAGGCATTAGCTGTCCATGGCTCGTCAAAGAAACATACAAAGTCTTGTCTGTCAAATTTGTACAACCGTTGAGCATCAAACACAAAATGCGGACCAAGACGAGGGTCTTTCAACAAGTCACATGTCCAATCCCAGAGTGGCCTATACCAGACATCAAAGTTGTGCTCCTGGTCCCTATGTGGGACCGAAATCACTTCCTTTTTGAACTGTACTTGGAAAACTGATTGTCAATGAGGTATAGTAATAAGTCAGTACTCAGAAGAGGCTCACTTTTGCATGGCATGAAGATGCAGCATCCCACAGCTTACAGATGCCGTCATAGTCGGTGACTGAGAATCTTTCAAGCGCAGCACGATGGATGAGACCGATAAGTTCGTTCATCTGCAGTTTCGTGAGGTTGGCTTTCAGAATCAGTTCAGCAAAGTCGAAGTCAATACACGAGGAAAACGGTTCCCAGGGAGTGGTATTTTCAGGTGCGAGCGAGGGAGCAGCAGTGTTGCAGCGAAAATCAGCAAAGTGGTCAGTCTTTGTAGGGATGCCACTACGTGGATGATACTCTGTCCTGATATCATCCTGCTGTATTGCAGGTGGAAGGACATGATCATTTGATAGACCTATATAATGTTATGATGACCGACCAGTTTATTGACAGTAAAGAATTGACATACCTCCAAGTTCATCGAGATGTGCGTACTCCGAGTCGTCAAATGTAGGTTCACAAGCAGCAAGAGCCGCATGAAAGCCTAAAAATTGTTAAATAAAACACGAATCTATGAAAAAATGAATCAGACCTTGGGACGCGCCTGGTCGTTGTGATTGATGCAGGATTGGACGAGATTGAGCCAGGTTCAACAGCTCAGTGTATGCTTGAGCAGCTGTCAAGAGGAATTATACTCAGTGTTTTTGGAACAAAATATAGAAAACTCACCTGCTCGAGCATTCTGTCTCTCAAGATCTTCCTGCATCCGTGTAGCGTCCCTCCTGCAGGCTTTTTGATGGGCAGCAAGTCTGCGACTTTTGAATTTCTGGCGGCATGTTTCACAGATTGAGGTCCATTCGGGTGGCATGAAGGTGTATAAAACTCAAAAGTAAGTGTGAATACAAGAATATGAAGGGAATATGGACATCAACGTTATTGATGGAGATGTGCTGGAGTCGCATTCCAATGCATTCAAATGGCACGCACAATTGTGGGAATAACATGTCAACATCAACAAGATAATTGTCATGATTATCAGTTATTCTTATCGATTAGAACACCACGTGATATCGTAGAAGTGACATCTCAATGACAATTGCAATGTCACATCATTGCAATGCTTCTAGGAAATTTCCGACAACATTAAACAGTATTTGTCTGACGCATCCCTGACATTCCGATCCTGATCCCAACGCCCGACCCCGACCTGAAAGTTTTGGACCCAATGTTTTTGCATCAGACTCATCCTTCCTATGTCCTGTCTAGTTGTATCTATCCCCACTGGTGCATATTTACTTGTTTTCGCATTATTGAATATTACAGACAGCATTATTACATGTAAGCATAGACCATTGCACTTTTGACATTTTTCACGATTTTCAGTATCTTGCCCTTGCATCCATGATCCAACCTTTCAATATATAATGAGCATAGCTTATATTATTGCCTCTTATGACCAAGATCAGCTCACAATAGGCTGGAGTTTGTGAGCTAGTGTGCATACTTGCCATTTCTCCTGATAAGGGGCCCATACCTTCAAAACATTGAATCTTCATGAGCAAAAACCTGGAGTACATTGAAAATATATTAAGTATCATAGACATAAATTTACAGACAAATCCACCAAGAATTGAGTACTGAGGAAGTGAAGTAGATCAGAAATGGAGTGTGGGAAACTTCAAAGACCCAAAGCATCGAAAATGGTTAGTGAAGCAATAATAGGACTTTAATGCTGAGTCAACTCATGTTTTCACTATATCCCTTCCACCCACCCCCTACCCTCAAGGCAGTAGGCAGTATGGGTTCCTTAGGTAGTTTACAACCTATCCTACATATTTTTAATGAAATCTTTGGCCTGAATCATCTATAAATGTGACTTTGTAAAAATATGTCTATTGTCACATTTCACACATATGCCTGTCATTACATCAATCCTTCATGGATCTTTCTAAACTATTAGGGCTATTATAATGGACATATATGGGTGTTATTCCAGGTTTCTGATCCCATCACAGGCTTGTCATGTTGGATATCTCAACATAATGTGCAAGTCTCACTATTAATATTCATTCTTTTATCTTTATGCTCACTTACTGCACACATGTACAAATGCATGCCTCATCTTTACATCATTGCTAACATGCCAGACAAATATATAATCCTCATACCTGCATCATCCTACCTCAGTCTATTTGTTCTCAGACTGAGGTATGGCTATACATTCATTATCATACTCGACACTGACTAACATTTAACGTAGTCTTCAAATAATCCCCAATTGACAAGAATGACATGAGTATGAAAATCAGTGGTTCCGAGCCCAGCACTGCGACCATCACTACACTGAGTACCAATACTTGGTAGGACCACCAATACACTCACATAGACTTGGACTATAGTGCAAAACGGGAAAAACCGACCTCCGCCACAGCACCAACACAGATCCCTTTCTACATCGCCCCATTCCGTCCGATTTCCACCAAAACTAGTGGAAACACCTCTGTTCGAGCCTAGTGACAAACCTATCTGATTACTTTCTTGAAATTCTTAAATTTTAAAAAATGACGGTCTCAAATTGAGACTTCCCACGCCACCAGCACCGCCACCTTCCTTATTTGGTAGTCGCTCCTCCTCCCCATTGCTTGCAGCGAAGAAAAAACATGTTTGTGGCCTCTGCTGGACCGTTGTAAGTGTACGAAATACATGTACTTATTCAGCGTAGTTCAATGTATCCATTTCGGCCATGATTCCCGCACCAACTTTGCGATGCGAGCGGTATTTCTTCACAGCATATTCAGCTTGCTTAGCATCAAGACCCTTCCTGCACGAACGCGGGTGCTGAGAGACCGGAGGCGAACTATAGCATTGAAATGCTCACCCATAGGCGTCCATATAGCGCCATGTTTTGCGGTAAAAGGCCCGGATGACTTTGGTAGGGCATGCACCCAGTATCTCAGGAACAAGTCTCCTCGCAGTTGGAAAAGTGCCATCTGCAAGCACTCGTAAGCCTGCCGGACTTGTCAGAATATCACTAGATGGCACAGGACTGTTCAACTCACGGATTTTGACCCATCCCCAATACATCTCAATTGGATTTAGCTCACAATGGAACTTCGGCAGAAAATAGCACTTGTGCCCAGCAGCCTCGATGACAAGCTGCAACTGAGGCTTCTCTGCAAGAAAATCGGCCTGGAGTGAGAGCACCTTGCGCATGCAGCATGTTGTCGACTCGTTCGGACGAAGATTGTCTTCAGGAGCTGCATTTTCGTCCTCGGCATCATCAAATAGTGACTGCGCAGCAGCACTTCGAGCGAGCGCGTCATGGGCCTTTTGTGACATCTTGCATGATGCGCAGTCACCAATAAGGGCTTTCCCATTGTTTCCAGCACACAACCTGTCCCAAAGGCCGCGCTCTTCAAGCACGACCTTCATCCCTTTCGGTTGGTCACGGAATTCGTAGAATGGATGGTCGGATGGTAAATTCTCCGCAAAACACATATCCTGAGCCACTCCACGAAGAGCAGGGTTTGGATTGTCAGCAGGAATAGTGGTGGAATGCATGCGACGCTGCTTGCCACCAGGTTTGACGTTCATCTCGTTCGCATTTAATGCGTTCACCGTGAAAGCACCGTGAGCAGCAGATTGATCAAAGAAAAACTCAGCGACGGCATCGGGATAAGTCCACTCGAAGAGCGGAATAACTTGTTCAACCAAACATTAATTAGCACACATCATCGTGACAGTGTAATGCAAATATTGCTTCGTACCTGTTGAACAAGCATCTCAGCCGTCCACCAACCATCTGCATTCTTTCCTGGAAAAATTATCTTGCGAGAATCATAACATTTGAGGTGTTCGTTCACAGGCAATGTGGTGTCCTCGGCTATCTAAGTGACAACATTAGTCAAAGAACCACAAACGTGAGAGCTGGAAAAACCTGTTCTTCCGACAGACTCAATCGACCTGTCTCTTCTGTTATGAAGTCCGACACATGAATTGCTTTCCCTTGACCCTTCTTTCGCAGTGGCATTTTCCCCTCCTTTGTCCAAACCCTTTGCTGCAGTTCATTGGACCTGAATATACTCTCGTCATGATGCACCGGAACATGTTTTCACTCGCCAGGAAGCAAAGTTGGCTCTATGACGTCTAAGGTTTTGTCATCATACGTGTTCCGTAGGTGTTCATTCTCAGCCACTTGGGCTAAAAATGCTTTTCGGTATTCCACGACATCAGCACGCTCGTGGCCATCAACATATATCCCCTTCTTTACACTGGTGAGCTCATAGCCTAATTTCTTCAACCAACGTCTCGCACAATTTTCGGAGATTGTGTTTTTCCCCAGGTTGAGACCCAGAGCAGGAATGATTGTTTCATTGACTTCGTGCTGAAGTTTGCGTGGCGTGATCTAGTAAGTAACATCAATTCTCTATCATTCTTTATGATTGGGTGCACTACTAACTTTTCCAGCCTCTTGTACAGTCAAGAAACGACGAACAGATTGGTGCACTCGCTCGTTATTCAACAGTGATGGGTGTGCATGGTGTTTTCCAGCTTGAGATGGTGGGAGGGTTCGGAATCTACAGATGTAGATGACAAGGCGATGAATCATGCAAGCAAGGTAAGGCCCCTTACCCACAGACTTTGCAATAGCAAGGCTGGCTCGTGTTGCAGGATTTTTGATGTTGGGGATTCGCCGATAGCACTTGAGCAACTCCAGGTAATTTCTGACAGCATGGAGCTTGAATTGTGCACTGAAAGACTTGTGCTTCGTAGCATCTTTGATTAATCCTTCGATGACCTTGCCTATTGGAACATCGAGAGGATCCAGCTCATCGTCTGCAGTAGGATCGAGGAATGAGGCAGCCTCTGGCACTGGCTCTGTGTTATTGTTAGATGTAGTGGTGTCTGACAGCAGCTCAGGGGCTGTGTTGCAAGATTGTGTTGGTGGTGCGGGTGGCTCCAAGAGATTGACCCATTGGTCCGAGTTTTCCATGTCAGAAGGTGTGTCCGAGTCTGACTCGGAGGATATGCTATCTGACTGCCGAACCTCGATAATAGGCTGGGAAGTATGTGGTACTACCGAAGCAGAGGACTGAAAGTAATTGCTGAGTTTTGCTGTCCCAACTGCTGCTTTGCAAAGTTTGCTTTGCTTTCGGTAGAAACTGCTTCGGCTTGTACCAGTGTAGCTGCCCTTGGCTTTAAGAGGGGCAGCATCGAGATGGTTGACAGGTTTGGTAAATATTTTCTGCCAGAATTCTTCAGCAGCGGCTAGTATCTGGTGAGCTTCGAATTCTTCAGTACCCTCCTCATCAGATGCCTCGCAACTTTGGGTATCACCAGCAGCCTTTCGTTTCTTGCCACCATCACCATGATCCAAGTTGTCATTGACAATAGGATCCTCGAAGTCAGAGATGGCACCAAGGTCTGTGATGTCATGCTCTAGTAAGCTGACAATCCAGCCTTCACCATCCGCGTCTGAACCTGAATCTTCTTCGTTGATATAGTCCATGTCATCTGGGTCCTCGACATTGTCAATATAATCTTTACTGAAGAATTTGCTGCCGGGAGCTCGCTGAGCCTGGGCCCGCCGAGCCTTCTTGTTTTTCCGGGGCATGTTTAGACGGGAGATTGGCGCATGAACATATTGTTTTTTTTGTGAAAAATTGGGACTGCTTACATAATCTACGCCAATTTTTTTTATTGCAGATTCATGATCTTTTGACCCAGTTGCACGCCAAAAATGTCAAAATTTTCCTTATCACACCACAATCGAGTTTGCAACAGAGAGGCCTATGCTATCTGTTTTGCACTGTACAACCTTCATTAAGAAAGTTAAGCATAATAATAATTTTCAATTTTTCATTATCATTTTCCTATATTGACTAGTGAGTCCTGAGTCCCGACACTTGGTAGTCAATACAATTCCCAAGTTATTTGAA